AAATTAAGGATTTAAAAAAATTATATAAATAACTGTAAATATGCCAGTAAAAAGAAAGAAAATTGTATAAGTTTTTTTTTTACCTTTTTGCTTATATATTTTCTCTGTTTTGACTTACATCGCCTATACTTTTATCTTACAGTGCTTTTTCTATATTCTTCCTTTATATTATTTTTTATTATATCTCGTTATGGAAAATTTTCTAGTAATTCCCAATGGTTCCACTTCCAGTACCTCAATACCTAATAATAATGAAGTAGTAGTAACTTCCAGTACCTCAACGCCTAATAATAATGAAGCAGTAGTAACTTCCAGTATCTTAACACCTAATAATAATGAAGCAGTAGTAACTTCTAGTACCTCAACACCTAATAATAATGAAGCAGTAGTAATTGGTAATATGTATAATACTAGAGAAAATTGGATAGAGATAACAGATGATGATAATAAAAAATATTGGAAATGTGTACATTGTCATGAAAAGACTTATGCAATAAAAACTAGTAGAATGCATTTAAAAAACCATACCGTAATATGTCCTAATTCTCCACTAGGTAAAACTCCGAATGAAGAGTTCAAACTAGTTACTAAAGAAGATGTAGATAATTCAATAGTAGACTTGGTTGTTGCGACAGGAATGCCATTCAATATACTCATTAATCTATTTTTTCTTAAAATGGCTAAAAATCTTTACTATGCTACACAGTTATATAAAATCCCACATCCAACCACAATATTATAACATCTTACAGGCAATATATTTGATTTGAGATTAAATTTTGTTAAGAATATATTGGCCAAAACTTCTGGCGAATTTTACTTACCTGTGACAAATGGCACTCAACTATTCATAAGTGCAATATATTGTCATTAAGGGATCCTGGGTTAGTGATAATTGGAGGATAGTTAATATTGTTCTAAGTTTTCAAAAATCAGGACAAACAGCGGAAGAAATAACATCAGTAATAATGAGCATGTTAAAAAATTACTCTATTGAAAATAAAATATTGGCACTTACTATAGATAACACCGCTACTAATAAAGCAGTAAGTTGCTTGCTCCAAAATGAGTTGCCTAATAAAGAATTAATATCAATAGGTTATTATAATATTAAAATATTTTTTTTATTAATGTTTTTTTATTAAATTTTTTTT